GCGGCTTCCCCTGCCACGCGGTTGGGTTTACGGATTGGGTAGATGGGTCAAAGGGGGGTTCCCCCCACCACCCCCAGATCTGCCCCTGGGCGTTAGCACCCGTCTCCCCCCCTCTCTGGCCTGTCCCGGCAGGAGCCGAGCTGTGGGCGCAGCCCCCTGCACCTGGCGGTGGAAGCGCAGTGCCCCGAGGTGGTGGAGTGCCTCCTGCGCGGCGGCGCGGACCCCGGCGCCCGCATGTACGTGGGCTACACCCCCCTGTACAGCGCCTTGCACCGGCCCGACCGCAGGATCCCGCAGCTGCTGCGGGACTTCGGCTCCCAGGAGCCCGACTGGGACTCGGAGCCGGAGAGTCCCGACGACGCCAGCGACGTGAGTGGGGCGGCTCTGGGGACCCCCCTGCCCCCGGGCGGGGCTGGGCGGGAAGCTTCTAGTGGTTAGATCCCCCCCCCGCCCCCCCCAGCTGTTAATGAGACGAGTTGGGGAGGTCTCAGTCATTTGCTCAGCCCTAATTCCTTCCTTCTCTCCCCTTTCTCTCCAGGATGAATATGACGACATCATCATCAACAGCGGATATTATAAGAACTGATGGAGGGGTGATCTCCCCTGCCCCCCTCTCCTCTTCTCTGCGGGCGGATTTGGGACAGCCTCGTTGCCCGGCCCGGCCCGGCCTCTGCTATTGCCAGTGGCCCCCCGGAGCCCCCAACGTGTCCCCTGCCCGCTCTGGGGCCCCTTCATCTCCTGCTGGCCTGAGACCAGTTTGTTGTGCTGCGGGCAGGGCAGGCTTGGCCCCTACCTCGCCAGCACCCGCCTGCCCTAGGGTAGAGGAGCCCCTGCCGGTAGACCGCCCCTGCCAAAGACCTGAGGTCTGTAGAGCGGTGCCGATTGCCGCCCCCCCGCTGTAGGATCCCAGACTCTTGGGCTCTCGTGCCCGTGACCTTTGGGCTCTGGTAACCCCATCTCCTTCCAGCGGTGGCACGAGTCGGGGATCCCTCCCCGAACTGCCCCTTCCCCCTCTCAGCCCGGAGTTGTGCAGACATGGGGGCAGGGAAATGCTGCTCTCAGACCAGAGAGACCATTCCCAATACTGGGCTGGACTGGTCCGCCATCCCAGTGTGGACACACTGGTGCCCGGGGGGAGGACCGGGTTCTGTCCCTGCTCCGTCAGCTGTGGGAGGTTTTGCCCACCCGCCCCTTGCAACTCCTCCAGCCCCGGAGGCGGGGAGCCGCCGATCCCTGCCTTGGCCCTGTCCCAGGGAAAGGGGCGTGTGTGTCTCCTCTCCGTGTGCGTCCAGCTTCTCTGTGTGTGTGGCCCCCCCGTGTCGTTCCTACTGCTCCGGCGTGCGTCTGTGTGGTCCGTTTCTGCGTGCCTGTCCTGTTCCTGTCTAGATCTTGCCCTGTGCTGTGTATGTTAACGAGGGAGGGAGGGTGGGTGGGGGGAGGGCTGGGGGGTGGGGGGGCATGTGATTAAAACTCTTGCCCCATTCAGTCTGTCCGTCCGTCCGTCTGTCCATCCAGCCCCAGTGTCCGTCTCAGTCCGGGACCTCCAGCTCTGCTGCGCTTTCCCTTCCAGTGGGGGAGCGGGAGACGGGGGGGCATTTTTACAGAGGGGGAAACTGAGGCGTGGGTCTCATGAGGCCCCCCCAGTTCCGAAGCCCTTGGGCATCTCTGTCCAGAGCTCCAGGGAAGATCGGTCCCTTCCTGTAGCCTGAGCAAGCCCGGACCTGGGGTGACCTGGTCCCAACCACCCGGAGAAGACCGGGGAGAAGTGGCACACAATGAGCGGGACCCCTGAGGGGGGTGGCAGCGTGGGGGACCCCCGGCATGTCCCCCCACTTGGGGATAACCCCGGGGCAGGCGGGAGATCTGGGGTCTCCCACCTTCCCCTCCAGGTCAGAGCCCACATAATAACCCCCTCCGCCCCGACTAGCCTGGGCTGGGGGCAGTCCTTTCTGACCCCAGCAAGGATAACCCCCCACCCCCCAGTAATGGGGGAGCCCTTCCCAGCCTCCTGCGCCAGCCAGCCAGGCCTGGACGGAAGAATTGGCCCTGCTCCCAGGCCACAGGGCGGTTGTGCCCCCTTCCTGTCACTGGTCCAGACAGGGTCCAGCTCCCCCACGGTGGGACCAGGCAGGGTTGGTCCAGATCACATCAGAACCCTTCTGTCCCCCCCAAGTCAGCCCTGGGGCCCACGGGGGGGGTCTCCCCTCTCCTGGCAGCCCCCCAGGGTGGTTCTCCGCTATCACCTGGCGCCTTGAAGTGGCTGAGTCCGGGGAGGAGCCCATGGGCTCGCACACACACATGCACACACCCACACGCCTGACTGCTCCTTCACCACGGGGTGAATCACCGCCGGGCCCATAAAGAGAGGACTTTGTCATCCTGGCAGGGCTGGGCCAGGTAACCAGCCCCGGGTTCAGGACACGCCTGTGCACACGTGTGCGCGGAGCCCGAGCATCCAGCGAGCGGTGTCCAAGCGCACGCACAAGCCCCGGAGCCAGGCGTCGGGGCCCCAGGCCGCGCGCAGGACCCCGGCGTCCGGGCGCGCACGCCGTGAAGAGGACCCAGGCGCCCAGGACGCGTGGACCATGCCCGGCCGTGGACGGGGCTGGCGCATCGGCTACTGCCTGCAAGAGCAGAAGAAGAGGAAGCTGAACTTCCAGGACTTCGAGGCTCTGTGCAGGTAGCGCACACTTCCCTCGTGCGAATCCTTGTGCGAGGGGCTGGTGCCGGGGGTCTCGCACCCTCCCCAGTTCCGGGGGCCGGGCTCTTCCAGCCCTGCGCTGTCCAGCGGAGCCTCATTAATCGTAACGAGGGCCTCATTACAGAGCTGGGGTGGAGATTAGCCACCTGCTTAGGTGACCTTTGACCTTGCTGGCCCCTAATGTCCCTGAACCGTATTCCCTGTAGTAGCCGCATCTCCTGGACCGGCAGTGCATCCCCCCCAAGGAAGGGAGACTGAGGCACTGGGATTGGACTCCCCCCAAAAGCCTCTCCTGGGGGCCCCTGCACTGTGCCCCGGGATGCAGCCAGCCGTGGGGGGGAACGGGGTGAGGGGCAAGGAGGACTGGGCCTGCGGACCCAGGAGCTGGAGGGGGGTTAGGTGGCACGTTAATTAGAGGAGGGTCCCCGTGAGGGGGGGATGTATCCGGTCCTTGGCGCTCAGCAGGCAGCTTCTGTCCGTGGCCGGGAGCAGCTGAGGGCCCGGGGGTCCGGCTCAGCCCCCGGGAGTCCCCGCTCCCCGCCCAGAGCTGGGGCTGGGACCCGGGTGCCCTGCGGCGCCCAGCCCACTGCCCCCAGCCAGCGGGGAGGGACCCAGGCTCCGCAGCACCTGTTCCCAGGTCATGTGACCCCCTCCGGCTCCGCTCACTTCACCTGGGCCAGGTGTCTCCACCCCCCCCTTAAAGAGCCGGTGCCCCCCGGATGCCCGATCCCCTGAGCCCAGGCCCTGCTGTCTCGGGGGGGCCACTGTCTGTCCGTCTGGGTCCCAAAACCCCCCGGGCTGCCTGGGTCCTGAGACACGGGGTCTCCGAAGAGCCCCCTGGAGAGGGGGGGTTGTTCCAGACACCGGTGGGGGGGGGGGGTATGTGTGGGGCCGTGGGCGTGGGTTGTGTGTGTACATGTGTGTTTGTGTGCATCTGGACACCTCGGGGGGGGGGGTGCGCACAAATGTCCTGGATACCTGGTGTGTGTGTGTGTGCATGAATGTCCTGGGTTGTGTGTGTGTGTGTGTGCATCTCCTGCACACCTGGGTTCTGTGCGTGCGTGTGACCAGTGGGGAAACTGAGGCACGGAGCAGTGGCCGCCCCATCCGGTGCCCTGCGGTGCCAGGCAGGCTCCGTGCCCCCCCCACAACCCTTATCTTATCTCTCCAGCTCTCTCTCTCACTCCTTCCCTGCCCCGCCCCGCCCTTGACCCGGTCCCCCGCGTCCGGCACCGCCCCAGGGTGTTGGCCGCGCAGTGAAGGCCCTGCTGGTGGTTTATTGCCGTAGCAACCTGGGCCCCAGCCAGGATCAGGCCCCCTAGGCTACTCAGCCAGGATCGGGCCCCCACACACCCAGCCCAAGCCCCCAGGCAGGATCGGGCCCTCTGCCCCCCACCCCGCCAGGATCGGGGTCCCCAGGCACCGCTCAGCTCCTTAGCAGGCGACATCAGTTATAAACCAGTCATGATCATTAGCCATTAAACAGATGAGCAGACCTGATTACACCACTTATTGCTAATTACATGGGTTAAATATCAATGGAACCCATTACACAGGTAGGAACTGATGGTCCCAGAGTGAAGCACCCAATGGCAGAGCTCGGCCACCAGACCCAGCCAAGGGTCGTTAGCCGTCCCTAGCCCGTCCCCCGCCACTCATGTGTGATTATTACATCGGCGTCATCATTAAAATATATTAAATATGTTTTATATTAAAATATAGCATTGATTACTTTAAGTATTCATCGGTTATTAATTGATCATACTTTATTAATTGTTACCCAGCTTTAAGGATGAAGTTGCCACTGCCAATTAAATGCATAATTAAAGAGACGTTATCAGTCAGCTGAATTAAATAATCAGCGCTAACTGATTAGCCAGATGCATAATTAAGTAGTTGTCAATAAGGCATATAAATAAACAATTACTATCACTTAATTACATAGTAGCTGCTTAATTGATTTAATCGATAAGAACTTTATTTATGCGCATTACTGATGATAACCACTTAATTATGCATGCAGTCTCGATGACTGCCTCATTACGCATTTGGCTGTTTAATTGATTATAATTATTCATTGCCAATTAACGGCTTCATTAAACGGGCAGCATCAGTTGCAGGATTGAATACGATGCTCGCTCTCAGCCGCCTGCGCAGCCGGGTCGCGGCGGTGGGGTGCAGAGCTGAACGCTTCCTGTCCGTGCAATCCGTTAACTTCCAATTAAATGGAGGTTAAAATTAATTTTCAAATAAAAAATATTAAATAGATCTCAATTAATTGACTAGATGATGACCCCCTCCTTCAGTGCCCCCATGAGACCACCCAGCCTCTTTTGGCTGAGCTCTGCCACTGCCTTATGCCCACTACACAGATGGGAAAAACTGAGGCAGGAGCCCACGACTTCCCATTGGTTTTCCCAGGTGGGCTTCCCCCCCCCTCCCCAGCTAACTCTTGCCCCGCTCCTTGGTTTCCACAGGGAACGTGGCCACGAGGTCGTGGAGGTGAGTCGGGGGCAGGGGTGGGCTCCCCCCCCCCCCCATCGTCTCCCATCCAGGGCCCAACCGCGGCCCGGCCCTGCTGTGCGGGATCTCCCTGGGCCGGGCCGGGCCCGTAACCCTGCTTAGCACCATGGGGGGGGGGCGGGGGGCGGCGCGGACGCCTCATCTACCCCACTCCCCCGGCCCCGAGATGCGGCTGGCTCTGGGGCAGATCCTGACCCCGGCCCCGCAGCTGGACCTGGGCCGGCCCCTGAGCCCGCAGGGCCCCTTCGACGTCATCCTGCACAAGCCCTCGGACCTGCTGCTCGCCTCAGACTACGACATCCACGCCCAGAGCCTCGTCGACAGCTTCCAGGTGACTCCCAGTACAGCCCAGTGCGGGACTGGGATGTCCCACCCCCTCTCCCGCTGGAGGCCCAGTTCGGCACTGAGAGGTCCTGCCCCCTTTCGTCCCAGTGCAGCCCAGTTTGAGCCGGGGAGGCCCCCCTTGGCCCCAGGCTGGCGGTGGGGGTCGTCCTGGGGGGGATGCGGCTGGCTCTGGGGTGGCCGGCGGTGTTGACCGGGCCCCGTCTCCCCCAGGCCTACACGGACACCCACGCGCGCACCCTGGTGCTGGACCCGCTGTCCAACGTGCGCCCCCTGCTCGACCGCTTCGAGTCCTGTCTCCTGCTCCGCGACCTGCGCGCCCAGGGTTCGAATCCTGCCGGCTGCGGGTGACCTGACCCCTGACCCCAGGGCGGAGCCCGTTGTGGCCCCGGGGGGTAGGGACTCAGCCCCCGCCCCGGGGGTTAACCCCCTTCCTCCCCCCAGACAACAGCGTCTTCTCGCCGCCCTGCGTGGAGCTGCCCGCCGGGTCGGGGCACGAGGCCCTGGGGCAGGTGCTGGCCCGAGGCCTCACCTTCCCCCTGAGTGAGTGGGGCGGGGGGCGGGGCTAAAAGGAGGGGCGTGCTCAACGCGGAGCCAGTAGGGTGGGCATGGCTAGAGGGGGTGTGGCCAAAATAGACACGGAAGGAGGCGTGGTTAAAAGACTGGGCGTGGCATTGTGGAGAAAAGGGGTCTATTTAAGGCGGGTACTAAAGGGGAGGGG